CCCCAAAACCCCAAAACCCCAAAACCCCAAAACCCCAAAACCCCAAAACCCCTTTATTTTTTTAAATATCGAAAATTTTAATATGGAACAAATCCTCGAACAAGAAAATGAAAACGTTCGACTAGACACTGAACAAAAGAAAGATATGATTAAAAAGTACATCAGCACCGTTCCATGTCCAAAATGAGGGCACTCTATCGAAACCCAACAGACCACTTCGACAAACAACATAGAAATATTTGAAGAGAAAGACAGAGAAATAGAGGAATTGAAGAACCAATTGGAAGAACAAAAGCAGGAGGCCGAGGTTATGGTAGAGAGCTTTAGGATTTCAACAGATTTGTTACTAGAAAGGTTGAAGGATCTTGAAAGTGTTAATTTTGGGGGTGATAGGCCACAGACAGCTCAAGTTTTGAGAAATATTGATATGGAGAAGATGAATAGACCTAAGATTATGGATGATATTGAACCTCCTCAAATTTTGAATTTGGAAGATGAGCCGAAGGAGGAGTTAGGTGAGGAAAATAAATGAACGAATTGTGGAGATCTTATACCATCACATATTTTTGCTAAGCATACGATTGAGTGTATTAGAAATACTGTAAAATGAAAAATTTGATACCAAACCATGAACAAAGACAAGAAGAAACAACACTTGCTTGACTGGAGAAACCCCAAGAAAATGATCAAACTCATCGAACAAGATGACGACGAAACTCTTGGAATCATGTTCAACCACGGCGCCAAAGCCGAAGCCCACCTCATCAGGTCCAAGAAGCTGAAGCCTCTGCACTTGGTGGCTCAGCATGGCAGCGTCCGCTGACTGCTGCAGCTCATGGGCAACGGACTCGAAGAACTGTCTCCCGAAGACTCGAGCGGCGACACTCCACTGAACATGGCCATCCGCAACAACAGGACGATCATCGCCAAGTCTCTGATAGAACTCGGAGCTGATCTCGAGGCCAAGGATGCGAGCATGAGGACTCCTCTGATGAATGCATGTTTGTACGGGAACCTCGAAGTGGTGCAGAAGCTGCTCGAAGTGGGTGCTGACATGGGAGCGACCAACAGCATCAAAGACACTTGAGTGACGCTGGCACAGAGAAGCAAGAGCCAAGAAATTGTCATGTTACTGGTCGACAAAGGCGCATCTCTGAGGCCGGCGAGCAGTCTGGGCAAACTGAAGGGGAACGGAATTGCGAGTCTGAAGATCAAGAAGAAGCCATCGTAGAGGAGGATTGAGTTTAAATTTCTATTGAGTTGGCTGAAATTGGGGTTTTGGGGTTTTGGGGTTTTGGGGTTTTGGGGTTTTGGGGTTTTGGGG